TCGGGAACCTGACGTTCCTGCGGATGCTCGACCTGCGCTCCAACTCGCTCCATGGGAACATTCCAGCAAGCCTTGGCCGGCCTCGTCCTCGGCTGCGTCGAGATGGCTGCGTCAGGCTTGTCGCCTACCTCAACTCGGGCGCCGCTGCTTCGTTGGTCGCTCGGGCCTCGCTGCCCGGGTGCCGGTGCTGACAAGCTCGTCCGCTCGATGTCTCACGCCATCCGTCGTCGCTGGCTTCATCTTGGACTCCGCCGCCACCACGCCTCCACCAAGCGGCGTCCCCAACCTCGCGCGCGATCGGCTTTATCACCCGCTCGCCGCGGTGATCCGCCTCATCTACGCCGCACGACCGACCTGGCCGGTCGGTTACGCGAGCCTCCGCAGGTCCAGTGGAGATCGTCCCCGAGTTTAGCGCACCTTTCCACCGATCGAGCATTGGGCTACCGCTGCGTCGCCCCGTCGGGCCGCAGCGCCGCCGCACCGTGGTTCTCCTCGCAGCTGCATCAAGCCGTGCATCGCCGTTGCGTCGCCCCTTCGGGCCGTAGTATCGTGATACGCGGTCCCCGCCGCTAGGCCTAGGCATTCGGTTAGACCAACCAAATCGGTTCGGTGCCTCGGTTTATTTTGAATTTCGGTTTTCTGCTTTTCCTAACCGATCGGTCTTCGAAGAGATCAATGACCGATACTTCGGTCAACCGGGAAATCGGTTCGGTCGTCAGTTACTACCGAAGGGACCCGATAGTTTGACCGGGAGGAAGAAATCGGGAGTCTAATCTTAGCCAGAAATGTGAACAAGCAAGTGAACATGAATTAATTGAAACATCTGTGACATACATTGGGCGCTGATGCATCGTCGGAAGCAGGCAGCCGGCCACGAAGCGGTGTTGGCCGCGAGCCCACGAACGCGTCGAGGGGATGGACGCCGTCGGCCATTACCCTATCGCAAGGGAGCCATGTGCGCCGCCGGCAGCCACCGCGCAGGACGCATGGATGCACGCACGCAGCCGGCGGCCGCTGGTATTGCGCGAGATTGGGGAAAAAGGAGGCGGCGGCGCTGCGTGGTGGACTAAGAGCATCTCCAACAGACGCCCAATAGTAGCGACGCGCCCAAAAAATCGCAAGTTTAGCGCGCGCGGAGTTGAAAGTAGCACTCCAGCGGACGCTGCATAATAAAGCACGCTGTAAAAAGCGTTCAGTGCGCCGGACGAAACTGGATCGCAAGCCGTATATTTAGCGCTCGAACTCCAGCGCGCTGAACTTTTCACGCGCGTGGAAAGTGCCCCGTGCGCCCGCAACCGCCGTTGGCCTCCTCGCATGCACGTGCTAGCTCGCCAGCCGGCCACGGGCGGGGCCACGAGCGGCACCACGCGGGGCGCGGCCACGGCCACGACCACGAGCGGCAGCGCGCGGGCGAGGCGGGCCGCGGCCACGACCACGAGCGGGAGGGCGCGGGCGCGACCACGACCACGGCCACGGCGGTGGCGGGGCTCGGAGGAGCGCGGCCACGGCCACGGGCGGCACGGCCACGACGAGGCGGAGCGCGCCCACGGGCACGGGCGGCACGGCCACGGCCACGGTGGGGCGAGCTAGGTACGGGCACGCGTGGTTATTTTTGGGCGCCTGTTGGAGTTGCTACTGTTGCTAGCCGGGCAGTATATTTTTGGGCATCTGTTGGAGATACTTGGTCGTCCGGCGCGCTAAAACGCTATTTTGGCGCTGTAAATTTTTTTTAGCGTGCGGTTAGATTGGGCGTCTGTCGGAGATGCTCTAATGCGGGTACGTGAGGGATCTAGGACGAAGCATCTAGCGAATTGAGGATACGACGACGTACAGTAGTTATTGGGCTTTTTTAGGGTACTTAGTGGGCTTAGTATGATGGCCTTAATATGCACGACGGCGCTGCATGTGTTCGGTTACTTCGGGGGATTCGGTCAACAGGATCGAACAACCGAATCCACCGATATAATATCGGTTTCTCATGATCTGTGACCGAGTGAACAACCGAAGTTTTGGTCTTCGGTTTTTTCGGCTTCGGTCCCGGTTTTTTCGGCTCCGGTCTTCAGTTCCCGGTTTTTATGCCCACCCCTACCCGCCGCCGCCCCGAGGCCGTCCCCGCGGTTGCACCGACTCGCGAACCGCCGTTGCGTCGTCCCTTCAGGCCGCAGCATTGCGGCCCGCGGTCCCCGCCGCCGCCCCGAGGTCTTCCCGCCGTCGCCCCGACCCTCCTGCCACAGCTGTGTCGCCCCTTCAAGTCGTAGCGCCGCGGCCCGCGATCCACCCGCCGTCACCGCCCGTCGACCTCCCGTGGTATGCGCCGCGCCGTCTTCCTTGGCGTGGGAACGCCACCGCCCGCGCCGGTCTTCGTCACGCTGTCAGGGTTCTTCGCCTACTTCGAGCACCGCCGCCGCACTCCTAACCAAGTCGCCGCCGCCGCCAGGCCGCTGCCGCCGCTCTTCTTTGGTCGCCACCGCCGCTACCTTCGTAGCCGCCGCCACCGCCGTCCACCCCCTTCGGTCTTCGTCCAAGCACTAGCCCGTCGCCAGCGGCGCCGTCATCTACCCCAACCACTTCGTCTAGTCCGACCACCGTTGGTGACATGGGCCCAGCGCCGATGGACGCCGCAATCGTCGTCGAGTTCTTCTCTGCTGGCCCCTCCAACTTCTCTGACATGGCGTACAGCTCGTGCAGGTCCCTCGTCTACGCATGCCCGGTGCTGGCAACACCGACGCGTGCCTTCATCCACGACGTGTCCCAGGGCCTGGCAAGCCTGGTCGGCACTTCGTCAACTTCGTCTTCGTCCATATGCGCATGCCCGGTGCTGGCAACACCGGTGCGTGCTTTCGTCCATGATGTGTCCCCGGGCTTGGCAAACCCGCCGTGACGCGTCGTCAACACCATCATCCTTCCGGCGCACCACTACCTCGTCACCACTGCGCCCATGACTAACTCGGCGCCCCCTTGCGCCCGCGGCTCCACGGCGACCTCCTCGACACTGGCTACCCCGACTCGACATCGACCACGGCATTCTTCGCACGGCTTCCTCGACCACGGCTCCACCACCCACGCTCTTGGCTACCTCGACAAACGGCACAAAGGGCTATCGCCTTGCTTGAGCAACCTCATCGGTTGCCACTCCAGCCACGACTACGCGATACGTCAACCGTTACGACTGTGGGAGGGAGGGGGGTGTCCGTCGGCTTGCCTTCGGATTCTTCTCCAGTCTCACTGTCTGCGTCGCTACCGTTGTGACTGCGGGGGGATGTTGAGTATAATGTTTATTAGGAAAGACGAGATAGACTAGGATTTGTTCTGGCTTGTCTTGTACTTCAAGTAGATGATTGTACTCTTATATATATGCCCACGAGGCTCAAGCAATACAACAACTATTCCACCAAATCCCTCTCTCCCTTCTAACATCTATGATCCATCCATCCGGCTCTTCTAGATCTAGCCCTATAGGCTACAATACATCCACCCATGATCCATCCATTTAGCCCTACATCTACATGACTACATCCATCGATCCATCCATGCATCCATCAATAAATCAGATGCGTCATGCATGCTAGTTTAGACACCTACGGCTAGGGTTTGGAAAGGAACGGCTACACGAGCACATCCATCGATCCATTCATCCATTGATCCATCACACACGTACTAGTTCAGAGAGCTGCGGCTAGGGATAGGAAAGGAAGGAGGTACCTGCTCGTGCTCGTCATGTTCGGCGAGAAACCAGGGGAGGCGCGTCCGTCTGTGTCTGCTGTGGTGAGGAGAGGTGGCGCCGCCCGTCGTCGTCGAGCCCGTTGCTGTCGGAGTGGTGAGGAAACGGGGCGTCCCTCATCGCCGCCGATCCATCTTTGCGGCGCAGGGAAGAGAAAGGGGCGAGGGCGAGGCAGAGCAGAGAAAGGGGCGAGGCGGCGTTGTCTCTGCGTCTCTCGTGCCCTAATGCGTGCGAGGCTGTGAGCGATGGAGATTGACAATGGATTGGGCTGGGCCGCAAGCAAGTCAACGAGCTGGACCGGCCTAAACTCGGCTCGGCTCGCTCGCGAATCGGGCCTGTTTTTATAACTGGGCCCGCTCATTTAACCTGTCGAGCCGAGCTGTAACGGGCCGAGCTGTAGCGAGTTTTGGGCCGAGCCGGGAAGCTCGCTCATTCGTCCATGCCTATTCCTGGCAGAGAATAAAAAGATCCACCGAATAAGTATTGATCCAAATACCATGAGATGGATTTAATAGTAGCCACTGAATTGAATGGATGCGTCATATCAATTTGGAGCGTCTTAGAAGAAAGATCTCGTTGTCCAAATACCCAAATATTTCCTCCGTCCCATAATGTAAGACGTTTTTTTGACCCTATACACGTCTTACATTATGGGACGGAGGGAGTACTATTTAACTGTGCTTTCACGGCGCCGTTTCCTGTCCATAAATCCACTAATTTACCCACTCCTCGCCGATGAGGCGCTTGTTGGGCCTACAGCTCCTCCTGGGTCTTTCATCAACACGAGGTGGATGCTTGCGGCTCCTGCTGCTGCTGGTGCCTGAGGTAGTCATGCCTGTCGTCGAGGTGGACATCTCAATAGCTGTAATTTCCGTGGTCGGGGAGTCCACGGTAGTCGTTGTCGTTGCCGTGGTAGCAAGTGCAATCAGCACACCAACAAGAGCTGATATCTTGGGGATCTTGAACTTCAGCTTCAGGTTGGGCATCAGGGAAGGGAACCAGATCACGAACACCAGTATCCACACGCATGCTTTGGAGCAGAGCGCGCGGATCACCTTGCAGAGTCCATTGCACGTAGCTAAAATCATATACCATCCATTCCGCCCCGAGGAGACAGTTGGCACGGAACCTTGACCTGGGTTGCGCCGATGATGGAGAGCCATGGCCAGCGCGCTCAGTAAACGAGCGAGCAACCTTCGCCAAAGGTCTGCTCCAATTGAGGCAACAAAGAATGCCAGGACCATCTTCACCGGACTTGCGAGCATGCGCATCACCCTCTTCACAAGACGAGGGTGAGTGCACCCCCAAGAACCGGCGCAGAAATCTCCACTGCCACGGGCTCCCCGTTCGTGCCCCCACCTGCTAGGCCGAACTCCAGCTCTTCCTCTGAGCCCTCCTCCTCGGTGGGATCCACTCGAAAAGTATGCTGGAGCCATCCGAGCATCGATTGAACTCTCTGCCACGGACGTCTTGACATTATAACACAGTATGCAATGCCGAGTAGAATTAAGAAGACATCTTCACATATCTCCTCCATTGATTTCGTGAGGGGGTTCCACGTACCCAGGAAGCCGATCACTTCGAGAACTGTGCACAGCCGCTGCACGTACCACTGCATTCTTCTTGATGAGAGGTCCCTGTTCGCCAGCAGCATGATGATAACTAGGAACCCAGTAAAGGCAGTTGCATTGCAGTAGAAAGCCAGGTTCAGGTCGGCTGAGGTATTCTCTTGCCATAAGCTGGACACAGAACTCATGCTGACTTGGTTCGTGAGGTTTCCTGCATAAAATTCGTTGGAGTGGAATGCCCGGTTCTCCATGGCATGGTCGAACCGGTTCTCTAAATGAAAGCTGGGTGATAGGCTCGTGCCGGGGTTGTATGTGACGATGACATTTAACATCGTTATTGCAACGAGCAATACAAAATGGCGATCGTCCTCCAAATTCCATCCCAATGCTTGCCCGTCAGTATGCCCTTTCATTGGCAGCTCATATAAATTGTTGAGCCAATTGGGTACACAGTGCTTCATCTTCTCCCTCAACACTCTTTGCCACGTGCCGCAAGTCTGGAACATTTCAGACAAGGAAACCATGACATGGAGGAACATGAGAGCTGTTACAGATATGTACACAAATGCCAACAAATGTGGGCACCTCCTGCCGTGGGCGACAACCAGGGTGAACAGGTCCAGGGTCATGGCGACTTGCAGTGCACGGTCCATGATTCTCTGCTTGCTGAATACCTCGCTCAAGACGACGCTGAGAATAAACACCAGGGACGCCACGGAGGTAGTGTCGTGCCAACGGAAGTACACCCATTCCGTTGTCTCCAGATACGTGTTGTCGGTGCCCGGGTCACACAGGGCCGTGGGCACCGGTCCAACACTAACTTCATATGCCGTACTCACTGTAAGAACCGTGCATATAAGGATAGGTTTGACCAACTTCATTACAATATCAATGGCACTGTACTTTGCCATAGTTTGCTGCCAACGAACTTGCTTCTGAGATTTCAGGCACTTTTGCGGCGGTGCTTCTTGCACCTGGGTGAGCAGCCTCCCCACGGGCTTGGACAAGAACAGCAAGACCTGAATGGCAACGTACAGCAGTACTGCTGCCACCAAAGTGGCGACCGAGATAGAGGTCTTCACGGTCGCGGCGCTATAGGCGCCAATCAGACCAAGCACGTCTAGGTTGATGATGACCTGCAATTGAGAGTATCTGATTCCGTGGGTGCCTAATACCTTGGTCAGGAGCCGGAGGAGAAGGAACACGGACGCGGCAAGGGCGGCGGCGTTGCAGCAGACGAACACCATGCCGCGCAATGTGCGGATGACGCCCCTCACGTCATCTATCCCGGGCTCGGCCTGCACGCTGAAACATACGCCGATGGCCGTGAGGCCCGCCAGGAGTAGCACACACTTGCGCAGCGCACAGAGGAACTCCTCTGTGTCAGATTCGTCGACGTTGGTCGGCACCGGAGCTTGCCAATTGCGACCGACTCCAACGGCCATCGCCGCTTCTGGGCTTAGATGAATCTGGATTTCTTGGTTTGGTGTGTTACACTAGTAGGAGGAGGAAACTGCGGAACCGAGCACTTCAGTATATATAGCAACATAAAATAATGGGTATTAGATCGGTAGTTCCGCCCGTGGGGAGAAATTTCTGCAATGCGTTGGTACCATGTTACCATCACACCGTCGCCGTCGCGGGCTGGTTTCATCACAATTTCATGGAATGGGGCAAGCGAACAGTCTGTTTGTCCCGGCTCGGAAGGATGGAGACGACCAAAGTATTTTATCGCTCGGTCATTAACTGTGGTGGCCTATGGCAGGTGGGTGGCACAAACGATAATGCACAGAAATCTACAGGTCGCTGCTCCGAGAAGAAGAAACCGAACAGCTGATCTAGGTGCACACTATACTAGTAACTAGATCGGAATCGCGCCTTGGTGCGAGGGTGCCGGTCCCAACGTTTTGGTCAAGCAGGTAATAATAATCCAGATTATGGCGCCGTATTCTTATTTTGTTGTTGGCGGGTGGTGCCCTCAACACATTACCCTGACGTGTAACCAAAGTATACTTTTTTGCAAGAGTAATCGAACATAAGACTGTCTTTTACAGATATAACTGTTGCCAACACATCTTGGCGCATTGTCTCCAATAGATGCAGCACGCCTAATCCTAAATGATGACATAATGTTAGATCAAAATAAAAAGAGCAAAGTAGCTTCTTATGATAGATTGCTATTTGATTATAAAGCATAAAGACCCGAGCAAGGAATAGTAATCGCCCATGTCAATAGGTTCACAACTGTACATTCATTACAGAGGATAGATGCTTAATATACCAGAAGCAAGTCAGATTACAAAATAACAAAGCGCAGAGTAGCTGCCCTTTGATAGATTCTATTTGATCACAAAGCCATAAAGATCCAATTCATACCATACAATGGCTGTCCCCAAAAGCAAGAGATACATCATAGTAACAAAAGTACATCAAAAGGTGTAGCGGCTGCCGATGCATCGGAAGCTCGTAGCAAGCACGCAACTTCCCATGCAAAGCATATGTTGTGGTAAGAAGAGAAAAGGAGGTGGAGCACCATAATACATAATTTATTAGACTAAAGAGCACTAAAATATCACAATAATTTGAAGGAGCAATTGTATGCCTACTCATGATCTCGACAGATGCAACTTTGGTACATGTATTTCTTTGAACATTTTTCATTTGAAGAATGCCGATCTTAAAATTATGACGGTGCAGTTTGGTTATAATCAAATCAATCAACCAACTATGCAAGTATGGTAGTTATCAACAAAGAGCCACATCATGGCGGACGTTGACCGGTCCATCCCCTTTATCTAGTGCGTCGATTCCAAAATGATTCCAAATCCAAAACAACAAAGCACGACATATGAAAGCAGAGCTGCTGCATAGATAGACAAAGTTGTTGTAAGCCATGTTTTTATTGCAGTTGAGCCCAGAAGGGCTATTAAGCTAAGTTAGAAATTGTAGTCTGAGAGCTCAATATATAAAGTGTTTAGTACATCCAAAGGAAATAGCAGTCGCGAAGTATAAATCAAAATTACTAAAGACTAATAAAACCAAGGTATAGTCAACCTACAGGGTAATTAAGGCCCTGGCTTTGATTAATGTAGCAGCCACGATCGATAGCCATGTCAACAACAGTTTTCTGCTTGATCTCCTAAAGAGCTGGTTCAATGATATAGAAAAAATTAGACACATGTCAAAACTGACACCTTTTGAAATTAAAATGTGGGGTGATCATATTTCACATACATGTAAATTGCTTTCAGATCATCTGGAATCTCGGTGATCTTTTGGACAGACATCTTTGTAGATAGTACTAATTTTCAGGATAGCTGACCAGAAATAAAGTTCAGTAGTCTGTCGATTCGTTTCAAATGATGCAAATAAAAATTGACGAGTAGGGTGGCTCAACTGCTGCTGTAGGTGTTGCTTGGAGGTGCCGGCAGATGCCAGATGGATAGGCTGTATTGCGAATCAGATCCGGCGCATGCGCAAGCTCGACGGGGAGCTATGAGAGCTTCGATGTTTCGGCATCTCACCTCTTCCATGTCCATTCTCATATAATCAAAAGTAGACATGGTAGATCCGAAGCAATGTATCAAAGACATAAATTGAGGGGGAAATGCAAACTGATTAAAGATTGAAGCCGTCAATTTCACTCCCACAATTTGCAGATTGTAATGGTTTCAGATGAACCAAATGAACATATTTATATAAGGCAAGAGAAAACATCATCATTGTTATTCCCTATAGACTTAGGTCTCTGCCAAGAATCACACAAATTCCTTGATGCTCCACAAAATATTGATACCGAAATTGAAGAACGATGCCAAGTAAGGGAAGGACACATGATTGATCTAGTAAAGGTGCACACTTTCAGCCAAGATTAATGTTGCAAGGTAATTGTCTCGGGACCAAAGCAACTTTTTTAGCACAAAGCTCGGATACAAAAAGGGAAATGGATAACCACAACTGCACTTCCTTCTATCTAAGGTCACATACAACATCAATTTGAACTTATACTGTTATTAGGAAATTGAAACCTTTCTTCAATGTATATTTACCTAGAAAGATTCTCTCTAAACTAAGCCAGCATCCTTCATATATTTGTTATCTTTATACACATAAACTAAGCCAGTTCGGCGGTAAAACCTGAGGAGAGAAAGAGGAAAAAAAATACACATATATTTGTTATCTTTATAATCGGTACATATATACTGAGAAGAAACAATAGTTTTCCACCAAAAAGAAAGACCAATAAAGTCAAACATATAAAGAACAAACTTAATCTGCGAGGAAGCCAGTAATATTAGCCCAAACAAATCGAGCACTTCTCCAATAAAATAGAACTAAATCCCTACTCCCAAAGTCTAACAAACCAAAATCTGATCTAGAAAGCAACACATACTGTAAATTGAAGACCCTATTATGCAGATAAACTAGTGGTTATCCCTACAAAAAAAAGCACCATAAACAATTGTAATTTGATAAGCAAAGCCTACAGTGCTAAAAAAATCCTACTCTGGAAATTATTTTCTAAAGGTATAACTGAGTATTTCAGTCTAGAATGTACCAAAAAGCAAAGCAATCCATTAGACATATTAGTGTATCACTATTTAGTGGCAGACAACATAGTGGAATGAATAAATTCATCATAGGCACTACGTATTAGCAAATCATGTAGATGCACCTCCCACACCACTTTCTTGTCAGTGCTTTTCAAATTGAACAGAAAGGAAGATCCTAAACTCTAAAACTGAACCAAACCTTTTGATCTCCTTGTCAGATTACACACGTGAGTATAAACATCCGACCGATGCATCTAAATACTACTAAACTCCTATCCACGAATAAATTGGAAAGTGAAGCAAGGTATGCTAAAATTCATGTATCAAGTGACATAACTTGAGTGTTTTCGGAAGATAAGATCAAAACTGAAGGCTCAATGTGTATCCAACATGAACTCACCATCTTTTGGTCCATGGCATAAGCATAGGATAAAAATCTGTGTATCACCATCATGCCTCGATCAACTCAACCTGTGCAGAAAAAACAACAAGAGATCATTTCTGAGAAACATAACTGAAATTGGACATTAACATATTTTTAGGAGAATAGCTATATCGATATGACCAAGCATGAATTATTTCTACACACCACTAACACTGCAAGCAAATACAGCAATGCGTATGCATAATTAAGTCAGTGTTTCCTTCATAATTATATAGAAATAAATAGATAGTTCACATGGAAGCTGCTGGCACAAACATTTTTTCATATTAACAGAAATAGGCAAATTCATGTTAAAGAAACAGTGCCTTTGTTAATATACATAGAAAACCTATCATAGAAGATCAACTCTGCATCTGGCCGCAAACCCCCATAACTAATATTTTGAACATAAGGGATTTTCTTGGCCATGTAGCAACAAGATCCTCGGTTAATATACAAAATGAGAAACATACTTCATGATATCTTTCCTGGAGAAATATCAAATTACGTGTGGTTTGCGTCGAGAAAATAGAGTTTACTAACAAATCAATGGAAAAGATGAACTATACTTAAATGTGAATAAGGTAGCAGTGGGCATTGATGGCAAGAAAGGGATAGTTCGTGACCTTTAGGAACAAAATGGAGCTAAAAGAAATAGAATTATTGAAGCTGACAAGTTGAACACCGATATGATATATGTATTTTAATATAGGTTCTGAAGTGTCAGATGAAAGCTCACCAAACTATCTCAGTCTCTGCAACTTGATTGCATAATGTTTCAGATCCCACAACTTGAATGTGATAATGCAAATAAACAAAATCATAATTAGACCATCCAGGAAGTTAAATAGGCAAATGTCCAACAATAAACTTGGAAAGATATCATCAAAATCCAAGTGAGCAGACTCTAAAGCAAATTTAATGGACTTCTTGGAGAATAAAGGGCTCAGAATGACTTCACTGACTAATTCATCATCAGTTGTTGGCTCCTCTCCAGCCTGTGAGGAGGCCATCCAGCTTAAAAGCCCAAGTGCTTCAGAATCTACATGCTACAAAAGAAAGTGACAAGAGGCGCTTTATTTATCAGGAGAAAGTAAAAACACATTCAAATCGAAAGCATAATATGCAAATGTAGCCAGACAAAATGCACATACATAATCCCAGGACGGGAAATATCAGAACCCACATCTAAAATGATTGGCAAGATCAAACAGTGACCCTGTACTGGCATCCTCTACCATCTGAAATACTCACTTCATACGAGACCTAAAAATTATCTTCCACCCTCTCTTGTCAGGCATTTATTCTGGGACCACCAGGAGCACCAGCTACCAATAGCCAGAAGCCAAACAATTCAGTTCTTCATCTTACAACTATTTTAGGTACATTATATAGGTTGGGAAAATTGGTTCAGCATGTTTCTTATTTTTAAACTGCTTTGGATAACAGTACAAACTGATCCAATAAT